CCGAAACCTGTACACCAGTGTTCACGGCGCTCCTCCGAGTGACCAAAATGTGGAACAACCAAAATACTCATCACAGTGGAACAGATAAACAAAGTATGATCTAGATGGGCAATGGAATATTGTTCAGCTGCATAGAGAAAAGTCCCGATGCAGGCCACAAGGATGAATCCTGAAAACACTGTGGATTCAACAGAGTGAAATAGACACAAAAGGACAAATACTATGTGAAATAAGCAAATAGAATCCAAAGGTGGTTACCAGGGATAGGAAAGGAAGGGAAAGGCAAATCTTTACCTAGCAGGGGTGTGTGTGTGTGTGTGTGTGTGTACACACCATCAAATCAGATCTGACTAGCACAGGATGAGATTGCCCCTCCTTCACCAGCAGAGCATCTGGTAGATTTGAACAGCCATCTCTGGGATTGCAGTGCAGCTTCTTGCCATTAGGCCACCAGAGCTCCCTTCCTAGCAGGCTTTTGTTGGGTTTATGTTAATGGCAGCAGGATAATTTGGAAAAGGATAGTGATGATGATTGCACGTGAAGCATCACTAATGTTATCCACCGGATTATGCCTGTGGGTCTTACTGAATTGGTAGTTGTTTCATGTTGATTTTGCCACAGTTAGGTGGATTAATATAATCTGGGGTCAAGAGAGAGAATCAGGGGTCTCTCAAATGGAAAGAAAGAAAAAGACAACCAATAGATGTCACTGAGACACAGAGACATTGCTATGCCCTGACAATGATTTAAAGCAGCCATCCTAAAAATGCTTCAAAGGATCGTTGGGTATATGCTTGCAACAAGTGCAAAAATAGAGCTCAGCAAAGAAATAAAAGATATAAAAAGAGCCAAGTGGAGATCTGAGAAATGACAAGTATAACAAGTGAAATGGAAAGCCAGTGGAAGGGCTCAGCAGCAGCTTGAAGAGGAGAGAGAAGGCGTGGGTTTAAGGAGCCAGAGATTCTGGTAGAGATGGAAATGTTCTGTGTTAGGCTGTATGCCTGTTACTATCTAGGCTGTACTGTGTTACTATCTAGGCTGTTGTATTATTGTACAATAGTTTTGCAAGATATTAACCTATTGCCTTTGAGCTGATTCCAACTCAGAGTTGTGAGATGTTATCCTGGGCAGGGGTAGAGGGAAGTGAATAAAGAATACAAGGATTGTAGCTTACTGTTTCTTACAACTGCACACACATCTACAATGAGCTCAGAATAAAAAGTTTGTTTCTTTAAAAGACACTTTACTTTCACTCACCCTGACTCATTACTCTCAATCCGACTCATAGCTCACCCCTCTAGTGGATGTCTAAGGCTGTAAATCATACAAGAGGATATTGACCATCTTTCTCTCTGTGGACTTGCTCAGAGATTCAAACTACCAGAGAGGGACCACCTTTGGGTTAGACTACACCACCGAGCTTTCATTTGGGAAGCATAAATAAAAAGAAGAAAACCAGCAACCCTCATCCATCCCATCACCCAGAGACAGCCACCGCTAATATTTAATAATTAATAATAACTGTATGCTTCCAGATTTTTCTATATGTAGAAATACTTACGTTTTAAAAAAATGACACCGTATTCCACATATTATAACTTGTGGGGTTTGTTTGGGTTTTTTCCGCATCAACAAGATTGAACCCTTTTGCCTTGCCCGTAATTACTCTTATATCTTCCTCAGTATTCCATCGTTACAAACATTGCTGTAGTGGTCATCTTTGTATTTAAATCTCTGTGCACGTCTTTGATTGTTGCATTTGTATATATTGTCTAAAGTGGGATTGCTCCACAAATGGCTCTCTTGTTTGAGAGGCTTTCAAACGAATTTATTTCCCTCCAGGAAAATGTAACCCTTTCTATAACACATGATGAGTGTTAGGTTACCATTTCTGTAGTAGCAGAGAGATTAGTTTTAGCCACTTTTTCCCTTTTTTTTTTAATTAATTTCAATGAACATTTACAGAGATTTTGGATTTCCATTCATGCATTGTTGCACTTTTCTCCCCACCCACCCCACCCCCACCCCCAGTTCTCTCTTCTCTTTGAAAAGTAAAAGAAAAATTCCTTCATTGGTATACACTCACCCATCACCTCCCCACCCCTACCCCAAGTACACTCCACTCTGCAACCTTCATTCCGGACTCTTAGGATAATCATAATGCCCTAAAATATATTGCTTTTAAACTGTTCTCTCCCTCATCGGTTTCAATGCAGTATACACAATTCATCCAGTTTTTCTCATTCTTACCCTAACCCTGATGTCAGGCCCATTCCACAGCAGTGGCACTATGCAGTGTTTTAGCCATTTTTATTAATTTTTGAAAGTGCTGTGAGTGAGTGAGAGCTTTTTGGCGGGGGCTGGGGGTGGGAGGGGAAATAGAACTATAAGGACCCCTGAGTGGCACAAGCCATTAAACACTTGACTGCTGGCTAAAAGGTTGGCCGTTTGAACCCACCTGTAAGTGCCTCAGATGACAGGCCTGATGATCTGCTTATGAAAGACCTCAGCCTTGAAGCCCCTTTAAAGCAGTTCTGGGGGAGGGGGACAGGAGTTGAAATTGGCTAGATGGCAACTAATGAGGAACAACTACCACTAAGTGGGGAGAAAAAAATATTGTTTGTTTTAACGGAGAAATGTATGAGCTTAACCTCAACTTAAGGTACTCCTACGTTTTTATAGATTAAAAATATTAGTTGAAGAGTGAAAATCAAGTTTACGTAAGTAATAAGCTGAAAATCATCAAGTATGGTTTATTCATAAAATAGAATAAAAATCCACTCTAGATTTGTGGAGGAGGGTACAGGAACTCCTCCTTCAAAAGACAGAATCTTCGCCTTTTGCACATTTTCTTCACCAGCTTCACCGTGGAGCTCATGACTGTCCTCTGGTTGAAACTGTACCTCACACTGAACTGTGGCAGAGATAGGACCTTGAGGGTAAAAAGAAAAGCTAAGCATGGAAGTACCCCTCATGACCCGGAAACAGTCCTTGTGAACAAATGACGCCCTATTCCACATAGTATAACTTGTGGGGTTTGTTTGGGGTTTTTTCCCCATCTACAAATTGAACCCTTATGCCTTGCTCCTAATCACCCTGCACTGAGTGTTCCGTTGTTAAAGACACTGCTGTGATGGACATCTTAGAAACAGCCCCTGCCACTCCCGTGCGTTGGTCCATAAATCAAAGCATCTGGGTTTGCTCCATGATGCACAAGTCGAATGTGTTCCTTATGATGCTTTCTGCTTGTAAAATGCTATGTCGCGTGAATTGGTGAGCCAGGCTTTGACTAAAACCATAAACTGCCATAGGAGGCAAGTGTTTGGAAAGGAATGTCATGCTTAGAAGGAGAGTGTTGACGGAGCAGAGGAAGGCCCTCAGGGAGATGGATTGACACAGTGACCACGGCAGAGTCACTTCAATGACACAGAGAGTCACAATGGGTATTGTGAGGATGGCAGGTTGATCAAGGCGATGATGATGATGATATATAACAGGTCAGAGTAACAGGCCGACTCTGTGGCACATATCAACAATAGCAAGTTTATTTAGTGGGGTTTTGGGTGAAAATGTCAACATAACGGAAAGAAGTAGGAGGAGGGTTTTTGCAAACTGATAGAACTTCTCAGGAGTCATTATGATGAAAAGTCATTACCCGGCTGACTGTTAGGAACAGTGAGTCTGTATCTTTCTTTGTTGAACATGATCAAATATCTGGGAGATCACAGGATGATGATAATGGCTTTGAGAGGACCTACCTGGGCAGCTAGGGACACGGGCAGGGAGTTTACTACATAATCTCTTGTGTCTTTTCATAGTGTCCTCTGGGCATACATTCGTGTGTATTTTAACAAGTGAACAGAATGTGTATTCTAAGTGAAGGACAGCAAGGACCTGCCTGGCTTATTCTGTGCTGTGTCCGTGGGCCACTGTCATAGAATCTGGCCGAGCTGTTGGCCTGTCGAGTAGAGTCCAGCCATCCTCCCATGTGACAGAGAAGAGTGTCCCATAGGGGCTTTCAAGGTTTACGTTTTGATGAACACACCTCATTCTCCTTTTTTTTAGCTGGATATTTTCCTTTTATTCTTACAGTTTTATACTAAGAAGTAACTGATTTGTTGTTGTTGTTGTTATATACCATCATAAGTCGCCTGTGGCTCATAGTGACCCTGTGTACAACAGTTCTGAAGCCTGCCCTGTCCTGAGACAGTCTTACTGACTCTGAAGCACCTAGTCTCACTGCCCCAGTTATTGTGTCAATTCATCTCATCCGGGTTCTTCCTCTTCTGTGCTGTCCCTCCACGCTTCCAAGCAGTCCTTCTCCAAGGACTGATCCCTCCTGGACACATGCCCAGAGTATGTAAGATGGAGCTTCAAAATCTTTGCCTCCAAGGAGAAATTTGGTTTCACCCTCTCCAGGACAGACCTGTTTGTTCTCCTGGCAGTCCACAGTATGTTCAGTATTCTTCTCCAGCACCACAACTCAAAGGCATCAATTCTTACTCTGTCCTTCTTAGTCATTGTCCTGCTCTCTGATTCATAGCAAGTAATTGCAAAGACCAAGGCCTAGATCAGGTGCAGCTTAGTCTCTAGATTGACATCCTTGCTCTTTACCACTTTGGAGAGGTCCCTGACAGTAGACTTCCCCAAAGCAATTAGTTTTTTGATTTCTTGACTGCTGGTGCCAAGAGTGTTGATTGTGGTTTAGAAAACAATTAATCCTTTAATTGTACATTGGTATTCTAGAACTCTAAATTTTATCTATCACACGTCTTTCTCTGGCAGAGCCAATGGATAAATTCAAACCAACAACCTTTCAGTTAACAGCCACATGCTTGACTGTTGGGCCCACGTGGCTCCTTTGGTGTATAGCAAACATGGAAAGAGTGAATTAACACATCAGAATTCCTGTTCTGCGTTTAGTGCAAAGACTCTGACCAGCCCCCACTGTGGCTCTGAGCCCCCTGACCTCTCTGTCTCCCCTTACTCTTGATTTGCAGACGGCAACAGAGACCTCCAGGAGGGAGCAAGCCCCAGCAGCATGGCGACCACCCACCAGGCAGTGCCAAACACAACAGGGACCACCAGAAATCCTACCAGGGGGGCTCGGCGCCCCACCCCTCAGGAAGGCCCACCCACCACGGCTACAGCCAGAACCGCCGCTGGCACCACAGCAACATGAAGCACCAGCCTGGTGACAGGGGGGAGGCAGGCTCCCACCGCAATGCCAAAGAGACCGTGACCATCGAGGACGCGCTGGAGACCCCCCGCAGCCCTGAGGCCCCGACCCTGGGGGCTCCTGAACAGCTGACCTTACATCAGCCAGGGGGGCCGGAGGCCGAGACAAAGCGCAAGGACAGTGTTATTCCTGAGCGCATCGGGGAGCGGCCCAAAATCACCCTGCTCCAGTCGTCCAAAGACAGGCTGAGGCGAAGACTCAAAGAGAAGGTGCCCGTGATTGAATTTCAGTTGTTCTCTTGCGCCAGGGAGGACAGCCGTGAGGTAGGCACTCTGATAGGCTGGCTCGTGTAGGGCCTGGAGGGTTTGAGGGCCTGGGGCGCTATGTGGAAGGAGGCAGGGGGCTTGGGGAGGGGCTTTGATGACACCTTTGTCTTACATCCCATTGGACCACCAGAGGGCAAGCCCAGGAATCGAACGTGCATGACCCTTTGGGCACGTTCTAGTCACTTACTTCTGGTTCCCACGAGGCCCAAGGTACTTTCTGCACATCAGAAGGGAAGGAGACGGTGCCATGTTTAAGGAGTGTTGGGAGGGGTGTGGAGGAGGCCTCGTCCACCCCCAAGCCTTCTCTCAGGTTGACTCTATCCTGGTGACATGCAAGAGCATCTGGGGGAAGTACTAATCTTGTGAAATAAGGGCTGCTGAGTTAAGTATGAGGCCTACTATGTGTCAAGAAGGCAGGCCTGGCGCATCGGGCAGAGTGGAAGCGGCCTCACCTTAGCCTTGCCCCCCTCTCTCAGCCCAGAGCCACAGTCTCTGCATGTCGAGCTGCAAGAGACTGGGTAGGATGCCCCTCTCAGCTTCATGCAGGTGTGAACCTGCCCTTAGAACCCCAAATGGGCACCTCCTTAAACTCGGCTCCACTCAAGTCTTGTTCCTCTCCCTGATCTGACTCTGGTCCCCAGAGCCTGGCTCCCAACTTTAGAGGCCATACCCCCTCATCAGGAAGGGCTGCACCTCACCTCCAGCAAGGCTGAGGAATTATCACGTCTAGTATGAGGTCTGTGGTGTTCAGCCTAATGATTCTCCACTCCCCACCCTACCTCACCCCCTGTCACTTCAAAGGCAGGCTTGCCCTCAGCCCACCTCGTGGCAGCAGAGTGAGAGGGCAGTCTCTGCTCTGGGCCTTCCACAGAGCTCAGGGTTTCAGGTCACCCCACACCATCCCCTTGTTCTCCGTTAGCTTCTCGTCCTTCCCCCGCAGGCCAGGCATCAGGTCCACAGCCAGGCAGGATGAGGCTGGTCATCAGTCTTCCCAGATCAGTTCTTGAAGCTGCAATGATGTTCCTTTGTACCTCTGAGCCCTCAGGATGCACTGTCTGAAGGGTGCCTCCCCATCCTGTGTCCTTGTGGACCAAGCAACTTAAGGAACACGGGTCAGTCCCAGATGTGGGAGCTAAGAGTCCCCATCCCCCCATCCACTATCAGTGTGTGGTCCCACACACAGAGCGCCCTAGACAGACTGCAGTAGCCTGGCTATTGGGAAGGATACCTAATTAACTGAGTTCTAATGATGAAACCTCTATGGGGCCACAGAGTGGAAACAGCCCAGGCCTTACTGTCCAGGCAGCTGAGCTGTCGTTGGTCGGCCTCTGATGGGCTGGGTGTCTTTGGACAGCTCACCCAGTCTCTCTGAACCCCACTCATTTGTAAAACTACACACGTTGACAGACTGCTGTGAAGAGGGAATGAAATAGCATGTGTTTACATGCTGTGGGGAGATGTCTTATAAACTGATAGATGTTCAGAGCAGTGTTGGCAATGGAACAGAGAAGGTAGATCAGGGCTCCCACACACCAGTTTCAAGCTCTCTTCTCAGCTGAAGCTTCTGAGACTCACGGGCCAGGAGAACATGGCCTTAGGCTCAGACTCAGTTTTTCTCTACTTTCGTGGCTGCCCATCTCACAAAAGTTGAACCCTGGGCACAGATAAGACACCAGCCCCATCCAAAACCAGGTTTCATCAGTGAGACTGGCTCTTCCCTACACCTTTTCAAGAAATAGTTTCTATGTTAATTGTCTATTGGTGCGGAGTTACATCTTGACAGCTCAACTCAAGGCCTAGTTTTCCATGGATAGGCAGATGGGTTTGAACTCAGAGTTCAGTCCTCATTTAAGAGTCAGTTGTCAAATGAGGGACCTGTTGCCCTTAGAACTCAACCCAAAACTGGTCAGACTTAAGGACCAGTCTCTGTCAATCTTCTAGTCTACCCTCTATGTTGTTAGAGAAGTGAAATCACTTGCCTAAAGCCACCGGGCAGGAGGCAGAGAGCTGGGCTAGAGTGTTGAGAATATTCCCAGCCCAGTGGTCCCATTGTTGACAGCTCAAGGCAAACTCCAGACCTCATTTTATGACCCTGACCCTGCCTTTCTCACCCTGATCTCATGTCCCACCATTAAACTTGGTCAAACTGTTATGTTTGACACATACTTTGAGATTTTCAGATGTCCATTTTGTTCCTTTTTTGGGCTCTTGTCCGGTCCAGTTACAGTGACACCTCATACGGGTGTGGGGATTTTGGTGTGAAATTTCCCTCCTAGAAATGTCAGCGGTTGGAGGGGCACCTTGGGGATTGCTTGACATCTGGGTACAGCAGGGCTGGCACATTCTCCGTTAGACTCAGAGCCAGTGCTGTGTCCATGTGGAGCCTAGACGCAGAAAACCTATGGGCTCGAGGGGCTAAGGGTTCTGAAGGACAAGGGGGCGCCTCGCTGGGCCACCCCTCATCAACAGAGCAACCATTTGGGGTACCCCCTCCATTCTGAGCTGATCTTCCTGCCCTCACTTTCTCTTTGTCCCAGTTCCTTATTTGTTATCTTATTCTATCCACTGTAAAAGCATGCCTAGATTAAGACAATTGATATACAAACAAACAAAAAATGTTAGTGTGTGTGAGTCCTGGGTAAGCCTCGGAGCTCACAAGGAGTATTGACCAAGGATGTGGGTACCAGTGCCAGGTGGCATGGAGTCTGACGGCATTGTGGGGGTCAGAGGAGACCCAGGTTCCATGGGATTTCTGAGGCTAGTTTCTCCTAAGTAGACCACCAGATATTTCTTCCGAGGCACCTCTGGGTAGACTCACACCACAAACCTTCCAGTTACTGGCTCCATGTGTTAACTCTTTGTACCATTGCTGGAGTCTTAGTGGCGTGAGGGGTTCCGGGAGAGGTAAGCCTCCCACAGGACCCAGCTGTGGGATTCAAGCCAGGTCAGGCTGGGTTCATCCTAGAGGTGGCGGCCCCTCCTTCCCCGGAGTCCCAGCCACCCTAGAAACCTCAGCTTCACTCGGGCGTGGCTGAGTCTGTCTCCCACCTCCCCAGGATGAAGTGACCGTGGAGACGAGTGGCCCTCAGCAGAACAAGATGGACAAGCTGATGGAGATCCTCAACAGTGTGAGAAACAACAGTAGCGACGTGGACGCCAAGCTCTCCACCTTCATGGAGGAGGCCCAGAACTCCACCAACTCCGAGGAGATGCTGGGCGAGATCGTGCGCACCATCTACCAGAAGGCCGTGTCGGACCGCAGCTTCGCCTTCACGGCTGCCAAGCTCTGCGACAAGATGGCACTCTTCATGGTGGAGGGGACCAAGTTCCGGAGCCTTCTCCTCAACATGCTTCAGGTAACCGGACACCAGCAGCTGCTGCGGGGGGTGGGGGGGATGTTTCTCAGTGGAGAGGAGCCTGCAGGGGCCGCCACAGTTGAGCTTTGACCGAGTTCCACCCTTGCCCGGTTAATTCTAGAAAAGAAAAAGGCCCTCGGGGGCAACGGAGCAGGGCTGGATTTGTGTGTGTTTATGTGAGTGCTCCATGGTTACGTCGGACCAATATAATTTTATAGGTGCTTTATGTTTGACCAGCCACTCCTGCTGTCTATTTTCATGATAAAAGAGCTGCCTCCGTCTCAGCTCTGTGCTTTGTCCAACCCATTATCTGAGTGGTCACAGGTTACTGGGGTCTGTTCTGTGACTTTGCTTTTCCTCCTCAGAGGTTGGGTCAATGGTTGTAGCTGATGCTACATTGGTTTGAACACAGTGGCTTCGCGCAAAGCCTTCTGGATGCAGTAAAGGCATGATTTGCTGGTCTGTACGCTGCAGTTCCTTAAACCACTTGAAGTCCCAAGAGAAAGCAATGAAACCAAGGTGGTCTTGTCCCTGGTCTCCTCAATCAGCATCCGTTCACAGGAGAGTGTCACTCCCCCTCTTCCTTCTCCACTGATGTATTGTCGATATTTTATTGGTTCAAGTGTGTGAGAGCTGTGGGGGGGTGTCTTAGCCTGAGCCTAGCTTGTTCCATTTTATGAATGGGAACCCCAGGTCTACTGCCCACACCCCTTCCATGCATGGGGTGCATGTGGCCTGGTGGTGCCTGAGCTGGTGGCATTGTAGAGGGGTGACACAGTGACCCTGGACCCCTGTGTCATCCTTGGAGACTGCTGGCTGTAGGATGGTCACCTCCATCCACACCGACTTTGTACCTTAAAGACTAATGGAGATGCCACGGTGGTGTTTGGTGCCATTGGGTCTGTTCCTACACGGGTGGCCCTTTGTGGCAGCGTAACACAGACTAAAACCACTCCATTCCTGGGCTGTCATCTTTACAGAGCAAATCATCAAATCTCTTCTTCTCTGGGGCTCTGGGTGGCTTCAAACTGCTGAACTTTCATTTAGCAGCCTAGCATTTAACTCTTGTGCCGCCAGGGTCACAGTCTGTTAAGATTATGTTAGTACAATCTGTTAGGATTGATTATAGCAGCAAACCCTCATGGAGCTCAGTTCTGCTCTCACGTGTGGGATCATGTCGTCTGAAGCTACTTGAGGGCCAGGAGCCGGGCTGGGTTTGGTGTCTGGCCCTCTAAGCTGTGTTTCACCATCACTCCCTTACCCTCTCTCCCGGAAAGCTCAGGGGTTGCCACTCTGCCCCTCCTCGCCTCCCCGGACTCAGTCAGTTCCCGCCCCTTTGCTCTGGCCTGGGGATCCTCCTCTTGCAACGTGAGAGCCTCCCCTGGCCAGCCCAGAGCGTCTCCAGCTTCCAGGGGATCAGGTTCCCATTCCTGGACCGCCGTAGCCCCCCTGGTGACGAATTCCCGCATTACCTGAGGGATTTGCACATTGGGCATGTGCCTGAGGGCCGGAATGTCCTAGGAGAGCGGATGGTGACGGCAGCCTGGGAGCTGCCATCGGCAGGACCTGCGTTGGGCCTTGGCTTTGGGGCTTTTCAGAGAAAGACCAGGATGGGACAAGCCTCAGTCTCACTGTCCATTAGAATCATGGGAGCATCTCTGAAAAAACACCATTGTAGGGTCCTGCCCTCCCCAGGGAGTTAGATCGTCCAGGGCTGCGGCCTTGGGTATCTGAGTTCCCAGGTGGTTCGAAGGTGTAGCCAGGGCTGTGATCCACTTTTGGGGAGATTTTCAAAAAATGCCCCAGTGGCACCGCCACATTATGCACCAGCCCGCAGGTGTTACACATGAATCGGTCAGAAAGCTGGTCCGGACGCTGGGCTTCATGATGTGACTCCTGAGAAATTGGAGGTGCGAGGAGCAGAGGTCAGCCGCTGCTTCGTCAGCAGCTTGGTCCCCTCATCAGCTTCCCATTCTGGGCTGTTGGTCTGGGGCGTCTCAGGGACTATTTCTTTTCTTTCTTCTTCTTTTTTTTTTTAAATTAATTTTAATGAACATTTACAGACTCTGGATTTCCATTCCTTCTTTATTGCATTTTTCTCCCTGCCACCCCCACCCCCAATTCACTCTTCTCTTGAAAAAGTAAAAGAAAAATTCTTTCATTGTTATACAATCCCTCTCCCCCAAGTCCATTCCACTGTGCAGCCCTCGTTCTGGACTCCTGTCATGACAATAATACCTAATCATATATTGCTTTTAAACAGTTCTCTCCTTCATCTGTTTCAATGCAGTGTACGTTATTTGCAGGGACCATTTCTTGTGCGGCCACATGATGCCAAGACTCCTCCCGTGAGGGTCCCCACCAGCGAGTGAGCCGGGAGGAGGTTGGACACCCCCTAGACCCTCCACTGCTCACACGTCACCTCTTTCCTTTTCCCTTCATTCTCCCTCGCTTTTCCTTGGCCTCAGCTGTTAGTCAGAGCAGCTAGCACGTGTTTTAGGAGAAGGGCCTCCCACACTGCCTGGCTGGCACCCCCTCCCTGCTCACCGGGCTCCCCCTTCTCAGAAATGTTACCAGAAGTGAGGGCTTCATCTCGTGCACTTTGGGTATATTTTCAGGACTAGCCAGTCCCCAGAGAAGGACATCGTACTTGGCAAAGTAGAAGGTCAGCAAGAAAGAGGAAGTCCCTCAACATGGTGGATTCACTCACCGGGGCTTCAACAATGGCCTCAAACTGGGTGGTGACTGAGAGGCCTGTCACAGGACTGGGTGGTGCTGCTTTGAGTCGTCCAGTGGGATTGCTGTGAGACAGAGTCACCTCATCAGCACCTGACCACAGCAATATCCTGACCAGGACAGTGGTGGCTCAGGTAGAAGTCTTACCTTTCATGCAGGGGGTCAGGGTTCTTAGCCAGAGTACCCCGTCCACAGCCACTGCCCTCCTTCTCTGACGTCTTATGTGTTTCTGGGAAGCTGAACTCCCAGGTTCTGGAGAGCTTCCTGTCGAAGATAGACTAGGAATAGAGGCCTGGCAGTCGACTTTCACATGTTGGCCCCAATAAAAACCTCTAGTTCACTGTGGTCCTCAGCTGCCCAGGGCTCTATCTGATGGCAGTTAGCAACAGCATCTACCACCATTCACTTACTTCCTGTCCCTCTGAAAGCTTGGCAGTGACTAAAGATGACAGAAGAAGAATCAATGCCTTTATGTTGTGCTGTTGGAGAAGAAGGCTGTGGACTGCCAAAAAAACAAACAGATCTCTGGACGTGCAGCCAGGGCGCTCCTTGGAGGCAAGGACGGTGAAACCTGGTCTCACATACTTTGGGCATGTTGTTAGGAGGGGACCAGTCCATGGAAAAAGATTGCATGCTGGGAAGGGTGTAGGCTCAGAGGAGAGGAAGACCTACAGTAAGATGAATTGACAATGACTGCAACTGTGGATCAAGTGTATCAGGGTTGGTGAGGACGGCGGAGGGTAAAGGCTCAGATCTGTGGTGCTTAAGGCTGCTGCATCTTGGCTGACACCGAGGCACGTCACAACAGCAGCGACATACTGAGTGGATTTTGCATATTGATTCGTCTCGGGCTTCTGGGAGAACGTGAGCTGCCGGGGTCCCTGGGCTCCAGAAGGTATCAGAAATCTCCCTGGATCCTCTGGAGGGAATCTCAGTGCAGCCATGGGGAGGGGGAGCGCTCCTGTTTCACAGAGAGGTGAGGAATGGGTGAGCACTTTTTATGAGCCCTTCGGAATGGCGGAATGGCAGGAATTCAGGCCCGCACCCCTCCACCCCTCCGCCCAGCCCGGTACTGCCCGGGTCACCGGCCCACGCCTTCCCTTGGCTCAGCCGCTGTTCCTCAGCCGAGCTGGACCTGGGGAGTACAAGTTCAAGCCCTCCTCTGTTGAAATGTGCGTGCCCTGTTTAGCCAAGAGGTGTCTGTATCTGAGCTATGCAGAGCAAAGTATTATTAGAGCAGGCATCAGAGTGTCTGTAACCGAACCCAGCTCTCCCTAGCAACCGTCACCAACAACACAACTAACAGAAGGATGTGATACCTTTTTTTTTAAAAGAATAGAAAAAAAATAAAAACACACCTCACCACACACACATTTAAATAAAGAAATAGTTGCGTTCACCCCAGCTAGGTCGCAAACACAGCAGGGCCGCTGTGGAAAAGACAAGGCAAAAAGCAGAATCTGGCAGGTGACCAGATTTCCAAATAGGTTGCTGTCCGCCAGTGCTTTCTGGAAGGCGGCGTCTGCCAGAGTCGAGCTGGAGGACAAACAAGCCCCTCAGAGTCACTTGCTGGGTCACCATTATGTGCTGTGTTTGGGGCTTTGGAAGTGTGGTGTGGAAACTCCAGGGAGTGGTGGCTCTGGGCCAGGCAAGGCCCCTGGAGGGTCCCTGGCAGTGATTTTTAGGTGTAACTCTTCACCCTCAAAAGGCCACTCGAGATGTCCTTGTCTGGCTGTCCTTATTTAAAAAAAAAATCAACACAAATAAACCTGGCATTGACTCAATGCACACTCCTTGTATTACAGGTAGAGCTGAGTGAGAGGGCTTTCCTGGCGGCCATCCTTTCAGAAGCAGATAGCCAGGGCTTTTCTTCCACCGCACTGTTGAGTAGGTTCTAATGGTCAACCTTTGGGTCAGTGGTGAGGAGCTCTGATGCCCAGTGGACAAGTGCTCACCTGCAAAGCAGAAGGTGAGGGCCTTGAACTCACGGGCTGCTCCCCAGGAGAAAGACTAGACTGCCTGCTTCTGTAGTCACAGCAATGGAAGCCCCACGGGTCAATGCTTCTCTGTCCTGTAGGCTAGCTGTGATGGGGACAGACTTGGCGCCAATGGATGGTCCACTAGTGGAGCTCGAACTGTGTGCTCCACTCAGGAACCCTCTGGTTGCCCTGCGGGTGACGGAAAAATAGGGCATGTGTTGAAGTAAGAGAAGGAACTCTGATGACTTAGTGATAAGGCATTGCACTGCCAAACCAAAGGCACAG